AGCTTCACGCGCCTCCTCCGCATCCTTGGCGCCCGCCTCGATCAAATCGTCCGTAAGCGAAAGGAACTGCTCGTAGTCCACGCGGCAGGAGTCCAGGATTCCCTTTTCCACTTCCGAGTCCTCGAGCGCAGCGTAAGCCTCCTCCACTGCGGCCCTTCGAGCATCGACCTGCTCGAGCCGCTTTCTCATGTTATAGACCCTATCCGGTCGACCTATCAAAGCATGGGCGCTGGTGGCCTAGCGCAGCTCAGCCCGCAGACAACGAATCAGTAGCTTGTGCGATGGCATCACTACTAAATACGAACTGATACGCGGCACAAATACAAATCAAATTAACAAATAATAAATACAATTACTATGAAATCAAGTTGAATATAAATTACTACAAATACGACTTACTATTTATTAAATTAAATTCAAGTTACACTACAATTAATCAGCAAAATGCCTCGCTCAAACAACCGACCCTTCGACAATTAATCTACTATAATTATACGCCAACGATAATTATCCGATTACGTGTGATAGCCTTATCTACCTAGTCAAAGTACCTAGCTTTAACAAACTACGGGCGTTGTCCGTCTTCCACCCGCCAACAACAAAAAAAATATTTATATGTAATTTTTATTCCGTACTATTTCTATACTATAGTACGGAATAGAATCACGCCACGGCCGCAATATTATTAATATTGCGGCCGTGGCGTGATTGGAAATCAATCAGCCGCGCTCTTGCTACCAGAATTGTACACGCACCTAGCCGTCCAACCCCAGGTCGATTCTCTCGGGGCCCATAAGCGGGAGATTCGTCGGACGACCAAGTGTGGGGCCGATGCCTTATGGTAAAATGACCTACACAATAGATAATCCTAGATAACTAATAGTACGTACCTGCTTCAGAAGCGGAGACTGGTTACCAGGATCGGTCAGGCTGAAGGTGTAGTGCATGTAAGTGGTGTTTGTGAGTGTGTGTGTTTAGGTGGCCTGAACCAGATGGCACGATGTTGCCCCGGAGGTGGTATTTTCCTGCGGCGTCCCCGGTGGCAATTTCTTTCTTCAAGGCACTTGGTCAGTCTATCCACGTCATTGTACATTTAACTAACTTCAAAGAGAGAACTAAATTCCGTTAATCACAGTCAAATACCCAACACGTGGCGCGACCGATGACCGTGGTACAAAGTTCACCTTCGCTTCACTTCGAACACCGAACGCGACTCTTTGAGGCACTAAACGAAACGGTGCAATTACATTAACTTCACAACAATTAGACACCCAGCGTGTAATATCCTAGGCTAGGCTATTTTTACAATGAATCTCTCAACGTGTCCCGTTCTACACCGCCCGAATGGAATGCGAGCGGGCGGGGGGGCGGTGTGACCTTGTTATGGTGCTATGCGCTTCGAACGTGCGTTAAGAATTCAATTTTCAAATGGTTAATATTTTGCCTAAACAGTAGGTACAATACGTAGACAGAGAAAGTACAATAGTAACACAGACCAGATAGAGAAACGAACGTTTCAGACCGCCATGTCACGTATATTGTCTTTAAACCACAGAGTACTTCTTATATACTGGAATAGAGACGAATCTCAAGTCCAAAAATGAATTATAGAATGTGCTGCCGTCTGGTTGTGTCGGATGGAACAATTTATATTTATCATATAGCTACACTATACACCTAGTATATAATATAGCTACTATGTAGTCCTTTATACTATACTAAATTATTGTTTCTTTATATTTTTTTCTTTTTACTTATTGCAAGATATTTTTCTTACAATAAGTTTAGACTTTGATGTAAAAATAAACACTCGTTTCAGAAAGTTAAGTAATTTATTGAATAAAACGTCTTTTTTACATTTGTGGAAATATTTTTTGGTTTCATTTGAAACACGTCTTCATTATTGTCACACATACAACACATAATTGAATATTAAAAAGCGGCAAGACAAATTTAATAAATAAATAATTATTTTATTTTTATGTACCTATATTACATAGCAAAAAATGAAAATCTACATGAATTAATATCAAAGTTTTTATTAATTCTTTAACATTGTCTCTATCTAAATATTTTTTAAATACTGAATTTGTTGCCTTGCACTGCAGATACACACACTATAAGAGACTCAGCGGGACTGCAAAGCCACCGTTTACCTGCATATTCCCGAAATTTAATGATTTCATTTTCTTGTAAGGTGATTATGTTAGCAATACATTCACTACAATTTTTAAAAACATTTTACTTACTTTATTAAACACTTAGCACATGTAGCAAAGTATCCAATAACATAACCTAATGCCCCCTTTATATATGGAGCAGTATTCTCTTGAATATCAAATAATATATACATCCGGGATTGTTTCAAAGTCACAGGTTGTAGCAGCTTTGCAGTTATCTGTGATGATAATAGTTTCTAAAGCCTTACAATTATCTTTTTCACAATTAGCTCCTGAGGCATGGACACTGGACGTATTGATAATTAAAAGTGTAGTGTAGTGTAGGCACTCTGAAACTGTTCTGGTGTTGGATTAACATTGCGGCAACCATGGCTTCTAATGGTCCCAAAAAAGTTTTCAATAGGGTCTTGGTTGAGGTGCGGCATCCAAACAGAAGTAATACCATACTTAGTTTCCAATTTTTTTAAAAGAATTTTTAAACCATTCAGTGTCCATACCCAATTTTTTATTGTTGGTACACTCTCAGGATTATTTGACATTTTATTTATAAATTTCATGTTATTTAATGTTACGGCCCCCAGCTGCCCCTGCAAAGGTCGCCTTGGCTAGGGTCCATAGTAGCCTTCTCGACGGGCAGCCGAGGGTTCGAGCCCAAATGGCCTTATGGACAATTGACCTATCATACTGCACAATAGGGAGAAGGCTAGGTAAATAAATAGTACATACCTGGATCCGAAGCTAAGACCGCACCAAGGCTCGGTCAGGCCGTAGGTAGTTGTAGGTGCATGTAAAGTGGTGTTTAGTGGTGTGTATATTTATGTGACCTGGCCCAGCTGAGGTAACCGGGCAGCGGCCTGATCCCATGCTGCTCCACAATGCTGCATCACTCCAGCAGGCGTCACCAAGTGACAACTTCTTTCTTCATTTCACTATTTCAGTCTATCAACTTTACTGTACATATAATTAACTTCAACGTCAACCAATTCAACGTTTATCGAAATCAAACATGTTATACCCGACACAAGTAACTAACAGTCGTTCAAAGTTCAATATTCAAGGTTCCGGGTTCACGTAGCACAAATTTACAAACACGGGATCGAACGCGGCCTCTTCTCGAGTGTCACAAAGTTCAGCGTTCCCAAACAACAAACTAAATTCCTTTGTACGATATTAGATACTACGCCGCAATAAGAATTCAATATCAGCCTAGCCGACAAGAAAACTAACTACAGAGTCAACACTCACTGACACAAAAGGCTCTTAACCTTTAAGTATGGACGTTATTTTTTGTTTACACTACTCTGGACGTGGAGTTTCACAGGCTCCTAGTATTCACACGCACGATTTGTATAAAAATAATATAATAAATCGGTTCAAAATTATATCATTATAAAGATTATCGTATCTTCTAATAAAACTACGTAAATATTTAATGAACTTTTATTACAAAAATTATGAAAAATCTAACATTATGGCACATTTTGTTTAAATTTGCTAAGGTTTTACATTGAGCACTTTTTTAACATGTTAACATAATATCATAACAAAATAACTCTTATTTTCTTAACCTTTTGACTGCCAGACCTAATATCAACATTCTTTTCCCGGACGCCACGCGCATTTTTTCCCAAAAATTATTATTCTTTCGGTAGGGATGTGCCACGCTATGCAAAACTTTTATAATAAAACTTTTTAAACTTAAGTTTGCAAATATTACGAATAAGTAAAAAAGAAACTGATCAAAATAAGCAATAATACATTAATGGGAATGTTATTTCACCTATTAATAAAGATTTAACAACAAAATGTTTTTAGAATGTAAGATAGGGATCAAGAATTTTAGCGCAACTAGTTGACGCCTTAAAGCGTCAACGGCGACCTCAACGTGTATATTTGGCAGATATTTGCTACATTTATAGTGATGTAAGTGACTTCATCGATGTAATAATATACTTTATACATGTTACCACATTAGCAAATCTGATTGTTATTAACAAGATATTAATTATTAATATTATGTAATAAATAAATCAAAATACAAATATTGGTGAGTCATATTTTTTTATTCCTATACAAAAATAGTAGTTTGTTCACATATTCAGATCCTTCTTTTCGTGGTAGGTACGAAAACATGTTATACAAAGAGGCAATTTACAAATTTCACACCAAAATCGTGTTTCCCGCCTTTTACGGTATAGATGACTATACACTTTGCATCGTAATTTTCTGGTATTTTGTATAAAGGCTGGCATGTACCGAGCAGCGTTTCCGAGTAATCGCATAGGTTGGTCTATAGCTCGCACGGTAGTTGGAAGAGTCCTAGCCCCGCTGTACTTTATGATAATTTGTTTAATAACCGCTAGTTGAAATTTTGCAAAACGTAATGTATCGTTTTCTCGTAGTACTTTGCAATAATAGCAGGAATTCAGTAAATGCATGTCAACTATGTGGAAAAAAAGTTTTTTGTACCACTTTGTTACTTTTCTTATGCTGTGTAGATAGCTAAGCATCATATCATTTGTATCTACTATACCCATGTTTTTATTGTAATCAAGGACACATTCCGGTTTCATAACCGGTAAACCCGTAGATCGATCGATTTTTTCACTTGGTCCCATTTCATTTTCATGAATGGTACTAAGCATGTAAACGTCTTTTTTATCATGCCATTTTAAAGCTGTCATCTTAGAGGTAAATTTAGTATCACTTTCACCTTTTTAATATTTTTTAATTTCGGCAATTCTTTTCGAGTGTTTTTAACAGTTCCACATGCTCATATGCCTTGACAAGTCAAAAAACAAATAATTTCGGACTGTTATATCAGTTGTCCATGTAAATAATACGATTAGTGAAATAATATTTTTGCAGGAAGGTAAGAACTACTGACCCACTTAAACCAATGTCACTATCACGTATAATTTGTGTTTCGGTATCAGTACCAGAGTATACAATGAAATCTAATATAATTCTAGTTTCAACGTCGCATAGTACAAACAATTTTACACCAAATCTATTTCTTGTGTTTGTAAGATATTGCTTAATAATTAACCTTCCTTTAAATGGAACTATACTTTCGTCTACACATAACTTTTGGTGCGGAATAAATAAATTTTGAAATTTTATTCTAGCATCATTTAATACTACGCTAATCTTTGATAAAATAGTATCATATGGCTGTCTTGGTCCAGGCTCACAAAAATGTAACATTCCTAATATTGTAGTGTATCGATTTCTACTCATTAGAGTAGTATAAATTGGCGAGTTCAACAATGGGTTAGTAGACCAATGCTCTTCAATCGTTAAGCGACTATTTCTTGTCATCAACATAGTTATTCCAAGGAATTGATACATTTCTGAAATTGTGACTTCCTTCCAAGTCTGCAATATTTAGTGATTCCTTATGTCCGTATTTAGAATAAAGTGTTGATGATATCGATTAATGTAATAGACAATTTTTTTTAGCAACTCTTCATCTACAAACTTCTCAAAAATATCTAACTCACTTGATAATGATGTTAAGTTTAATGAAGGTGAAATACCGCTGTAAAAATTGTCAAAACCAAGAGTTTCGATTGTATGCGGTTGATTTGTCCATATAAAAGGTATTCCGGAGCTTGGACCTGCTACGTTTTCATCCTCAACTGAAGCATTTCGCGTAGTTGGAAATTCAACCTTAAAAGAAACAAGAACAAGAAACTGTATTATGTAGGTAACTATTTCCTATTTATTTAGTTATAAGAAGCTGCGCTACATATACAAAAATAAATATGCGCTAGACACAAATTCTCATGATTATAGATCTCGAAGTTACATCCCTGTGTTACGAGGTATAACGATAACGAATGCTGGGGTGTCTTCAGCATATCTAGACCCGAACTAATTTAAGTAAATTTGTTTTCTAAGCTAACCCGTATCGGAATTCGAACCTGGGTCACTTGCGAGCTAAGCGATAACTTTGCCACTACGTTAATTGAGTCATCAAAAATCACCATGGGCATGAAAGTGACCTATAATACAAACTTATAGATTTTTTGGTAAATGAGAAAAATGTGCCTACATTTTGAAAACTTTTTGTTTATTACTTGCTTTTCCATAAAACTTTAATAACTTCCGCTGCCCCCTCCCCGCCACACGCGTGACACCTGGCACCATCGGCCGATTCTCCAAGTCGTACGTGATTGGGTGCTTCTTAAAATGACCATTTTTGGGCATAAACAATCTTTGTTAGTAGATTGATTTTTAGGATAAATTTTAGATTCATTATGAAGTCAAATACAAAACAAATCAGTGATTTGTAAAACGCAAGATCAACCGCCCGTTCTGGCACTCTATAAATAGCGATTTACGTTAGCGTCACACATATTAATTAGCTATTCACACACAGTTTATTTACAGGGATTTCTCTGACCTTAGACTAAAGGGAGACATATACTATAGACAAAAATTACGATAAGGATGACAATCGATAGTTTAACCAGACTATCAATAGAATCGATAGTGCTAACACTGTTGATTAATCGATAATCTATCGATGTTTAAGGAACGCTAGTCGAGATCCATAAATCACCAGTGCAAAGCTGAGGCGCATCGCTAGTGATAAATACATTTAAATTATATCTGTTTTTGTTATCCTTACACAAAAACATCTTACTTCCTCACTATTTATCATTGTGTATTTATGTTCTGTACATAGATAACCATGTTAATTCCCAGTCATTTTATTATGATGTATAAGTACTTACTAATCAACCAAAACATATTAAAACAAAGTCTTGACACCACTCCTGTCTATCTCAGTCAATCATCAAAGTTCAAAAACTTTATTAAACTAAGTTTGTATAAAAACAGTTATTATAATATTAAGGAATTTATGGATGATAATAAAAAGAGTTACATTATATTATGTTTTTTGTATGTAATACAACCAGTTTAAAACAAAAACATTTCATACAGTGTGTTGGTAATATTATTAATATAAATGGACATATTCTCCCTTAGTCAGCTTGTCTTTAATCATATTACTTTAATGGTATTTGTAATGTACACTTACAATCGATCAATACATGTCAAAAATAGAATCAATATGACATTTATGCACAGACAGGCACTATACATTGCCGGAACTAGTAAAAATATTTTACATCGATCTTAAAGTATCTATAAATGCTGAATATACCTACAACTTTGTTTTATATGTACTATTATTCAACTGTGCACTATTTTATCTGTGAATACTACTAGAAAATCAGTTTGTTTTTAGGTTATTTTTAGATTCATATTTTAATTGTTAATTTCTCAGGACTCCGTTTAGATGCAGTAAAACTAATAATACTATTGTAATCTATAGATTATAAGGAATAAATCGACATGCATTTCATTAAGAATTGTTAAAATTTGTGGTGGGCCCATTCTCCATACAAAAATAAATTCAAGAATCAAGAATCATTTATTTGCATAAAACACGGTAAATAAGTTGTTACATTAAATAAAAGATCAACATGTTTTGTCCTTTTAGGACGTGCAAATATTTAAGTATATGATCACTTAAATTTATATTAGTTATTTAAACAGTACAATTATTTTTATTATTATAGTAGTCATATTTAAAATCATAATACATTACAAAAATTATATTCATGGTCAAGTGAATTTATTTGTAATTAAAAAACTCTTTAATATTATAGAAAGCCCTGTCCACCAACCACATAAAAAGTTTGCTTTTAAATTTACTAAGAGGCAATGACTTTATGTCGCTAGGCAGTTTGTTAAACACTTTTATTTCCATCGAGTAACAGCTCTTATGAGAGGTTGCCTTCTTTCTGAATGGAAGAACTAGTTTATCCTTATACCTTGTATTAAAACTAACAACATCACTATTTTTTGTAAAAAACTGTTTATGTTTTTTGACCAAGACACCCAATTCGAAAATATAAATGCTAGGAAGTGTTAGAATTTTTAGGGTTGGAAAAAGTTCTCTACAAGAATATAATGAACCAACCCTGCAGATTGCCCTTACACACTTTTTTTGAGCAATAAAAGTTTTGTTCACTGTAGATCCATTTCCCCAGAGTATTACGCCATATCTCAAAACGGAATCTATATAGCCATGATAGGCGAGTAAAGCAGTTTTTTGAGATGAAGTCCTTGACAATCTTCGTAATGGGTAAATGAACTTATTGATTTTTGTACATACTTCTTTAATATGTCTTCGCCAAGTACAACCATCATCAATATGTATCCCCAAGAATTTTGTATTTTGGACCTCCTCTAGTTTTTGTCCATTTAAATTAATGTCAATAGTTTCTTTATATTTCCTTAGGTTAAATTGTATTATTTTTGTTTTGCCTAAATTTACTTCGAGTCTATTCTTGTATAGCTAATCTGTGACACTTATAACAGCTGTCATTATTTTATCATTGTAATTGGATTTAGTGTCAGTACTTATTATGATTGAAATATCGTCAGCAAAAAGTACAGACTTGCAATTGATAAAGTCAGGTAGGTCATTCACGTAAAGCAAAAAGAGAAGAGGCCCCAGGACACTCCCTTGCGGGACTCCACTACGGTTGTGTTTATATTTGGATCTGTACGATGTCATTACATTATTAACGTCTATATCATTTATTTCAACACACTGTTCTCTACCGCTTAGATAAGATTTTATCCACTGTAATGCTGGGCCCCGAATGCCATAGCAGTACAGCTTATCAATTAATATATCATGACACACTACATCAAAAGCTTTACTCATATCAAAAAATACTGCAGATACTAGGTGACCTTTGTCAATACAATTAATTATTTCGGTAACCAATGAATAGGCTGCTAATGTGGTCGATTTATTTCTTTGAAATCCATTTTGCTCTACTTTTAGAATATCAAATTTTGTTAGATAGTCGTATATTCTAGAATACATAATTTTTTCAAAGATTTTAGACAGTATAGGTATTAAAGTAATTGGTCGATAATTATTTATGTCGCATTTATCATCCTTTTTATGTAGCGGTTTTACTATTGAAAACTTGAGAGCTGTTGGAAAGGATCCTTCTATAAACGATATGTTAACCAAATGTGACAGAATTGGCGATAATTCTTCAGCACACATCTTAAGGATTCCAGTTGCTATGTTGTCGTAACCAACTGATAATGTGTTTTTCAACGAAAGTATTACTTTTTTTCTCATATTTATTTGAGGGACGCAAAAAAATACTTTTCATATTATGTTTGGTTAATGTTTTATCAATTTGCTTCATTTTATTCGGTGAATGAATAAAATGTTTGTTTAAATTCTCAGCCATTTGTATTTTGTCATTAGTAACTTTATTATTTATTTTTAATTCTTTAATACTTTTTGGGATATTATTAGCCACAGTTTTGTTTTGGATAATGTTCCACGCTGCCTTGCATTTGTTTTTACTATTTGAGATATACTTGTAATTGCTAATTCTTTGGGATTTACTTATAACTTTTTTTAGAATGTTAGTATAAAGGTAATATTTTGACTTGTTTGATTTTTTTTCATTAGGATTTGATGTATAGTAATTGTACCTCAACTTCCTTTTTGTTTTACAAGACTTTTTAAGTCCTGCTGTAATCCATTTAGGGCCACAAGTTTTTATCTGACGTTTAATTTTAATCACGGGAAAGCATAAGTCATAGAATAATCTAATTATGTCATGAAAATTACTAAAAGCTAGGTCAAAGTTTGATTCGTCATATATATCATTAAATGTCAGTTGCTTCATTATTTCTTTAAATTTTCTCCTATTATCAGTGCTATAGTCTCTTCTAAGTATCCAATATGTATTTTTGTAAGTTTTATATTTATAAGGAAATTTTATACTAAGCGTTTGACCCGTGTTATGGTCAGATAACCCCAATTCATATATTTTACCTTCGGCTTCTCGGTCATTGCTTATAATATGATCTATACAAGTTTTCTGTCTGGTAGGCTTTTGTATGTGATGAGTGAGGTTATTGTTTAGTAAAATGTCTTTGTAGAATTCAGAAGCTGGTGTGCACTTAAGTGTGTCTATATTAAAATCTCCGGCTATAATTATTTTAAAGTCATGATATCTGTTACAAATATTATAAAGCATGTCTTGAAATTTATTTAAAAAGTCTGTTATATTGGACTTAGGTATTCTATAGATGCAGATAACACAACAGCGATGGTCTGGCAAAATGATTCCACATACCTCAAAAGTGTTTTCTGCTTGATATTTATTAATTATTGTAAGATCTGCAAAGTTAAAATTATTTTTACAAAGTATGCATACACCACCTCGTTTTACGTCAAGCCTTGAATAACTATTTGCAATAGTGTAGCCATCCAAATGCACACACACTTCTTCACCTGCTTTCAGAAATGTTTCACTAAGGCATATAACATCTAATTCACATCCTATTTCACGAGGCAAATCAGTTATGTATATCTGCAACAAATCAGTTTTATTAAGAAGTCCAGCTATGTTTTGGTGAAAAATTGTAAGGATTTGGTTTTTACAGACGAAAAAAATTGTCACGTTTTGACCCTTCAGATGTTACTTCCATTGAAGCATTTACATTTTCGTTCCGGTGCATCGCATAATTGTTTTCATAGCAAAAATAATCTAAGATAGTTTTCTGCGTGATTTTTCTACTTCTCTGTTTATTGACATTTTTATGGGGGAAACGGATTAAATCATGACGTTTGTTAAAGCTAAGGAATTTTTCGTTGTAGTCGAGGCAATCTATTAAAAAATTTAATTTAGTACAAATGTTTTCTTTCGTTTTCGTGTTAAAAGCGTTTCTTTTTATCGTCAATGTGAATGAAATGACAATTATTGAAATTATTACATAGAAGGCGAATGTTCCTATTCAACAGGTTTTCATTCAAAAAAACATTTTTTAGTACGCTTATTACAATAATAGTTAAGTGTTGGTTTTTTTTCAAAAATGCAGATAGTTCTAGTAATACTTTAGTGGGGTTACAGTCATTTTCACCAACATTAATTACTATTTTGTCTTTATTATTAAAAACAACATTATCGCATCCGTTAAGAATTTCTTCTGTAGGCGCTTGCGGTTTTGTATCTGCTGTAATACAATATTTTTCATATTTGCTGTTGAGTCTTGATCGAATCAGTGAAGAAGCTAATCCTACACATTGTTGCCCTCCAAATATGTGTATCTTATTTAAAGTTTCATTAGCCGTAGTAGCGGTTTTAGGCGACGTGATGTCTTCTTGTGACGTATCCTTATCGCTTTCCTTAGTTTTAGCTTGTATTGCAAAATCAGGGCAGTAGCTTGTTTGTATTGAGGAATCGTCAAGGGATTTGTTTTGTCGCATAAATGTCGAGTCTCCTTTTATTTTTGACTTGCGCTTTCTGGCACTCCGTGAACATATGGCAGTTAAGTGCTGAATCCGATTTTTTTGCTCATGGACTTCTTTTTGTAATACATTGTTTTCCATGTGCAAGTTTTCTATTTCTGTATGTGCACTGGCAAGTTCACTCCTCAATTTTTTGCTTTAATTGAATATATTCGTCGTCATAGTCACGAGTAGAAAGATCAGGAAGGCTTCTTCTGGGAGATAACGAAATATCCTCCAAAGAATTATTATTTTCTTCTAGTAATAAGTGACCTTTTACATCATTATTTATAGGTTCGTATTCATTTTCCCTAGTAAATTGCCTTCTAAGAGTTATGTTGTCTGTCATAATATTAGAATTTTCTTGTGCTGTACTCGTATATGCTTGTGATGTGTTTGCTTTAGGAGTACTTATAAAAATGGGATTAATTTTACATGATTTTGTAGATAGTGTATGTTTATTTAAGCATTTGTTGCATTGCCATTGATTCTTGCAGTCAGATGTCATCAAATTAAATTTCCTTATCGTCATATTTACACATGAAATGTCATAATTCTTTTTACATATGGAACACTTGACACCTTCCTTTGTGATATTGTTCTTACATTTAAAACATTTTTTGGTTCTGGAAGCGGGCTTTTTATTTATTGGCGACATTTCAGCAAAAAGAAAAGAAAAATTAAAATAAAAAATAAAAAAGTAACACAGTTAGGTCAACCGGGTTTGAACCACCACTTTCCGGCCGTTAATTATGTCTCGGTTCGACGCTGTGACCGTTGAGCTACGGTAACGACATGCACTTATGACGAAAAGTCTGTACAGGTTGCACCATCAAATTGCGTTTGAGTCGTTTTATGACCTTATATGGTAATAGTTGCTTTCGAACGCGATCGCCCGATGAGTCATACACGTCACATAACACTTTTTGTTTGATACAACCAAACACGTTTGAGCCGTTATTTATACACTAATATCACTTTTGTTGAATGTTAAATCTACACAGTCTTCTCAGTTATTTAAAAGGAATCGATTGGTATATTTTTTTGTAAGAATAATCCACTTTTAACCCTTAAAAATAATAAAATGCACGGAGACAAACTAAGTACGTGCGCTCGGGCGTACGTAGCACGAGGCGAGTTTTTGAAATTGTCTCCTTTCATCAAAATCCGTTCAGTAGTTTTTGCGTGAAAGAGTAACAAAGCATTTATAATATTAGTAGGAAGTAGGGTAATTTAAAGATTTTTACCTGTTTGCTCATATGTTTAAAAATTTCTAGATTTATTCCAGTGTCAATATTTAATTGGCTTATCATTTTCTTCAATGTAATTTTAGAAGGAAAAATAAATATTTTTTGCAGAAACTTGTATGACTTAGGGCCTTGCTTATAAATGGAAAGAGTTATGAGCTTCTCCTCTCTTCTAAACCTGCGGGACTTTTTATTTTTTGTACAGAGTTTAACTTGCAGCCACAAAACTTTTTTTAGTCAAGGGAGTCATGTTTTTAGTCAGCTCTTCTAAAGATTTTTCTTTACGGAAGCCCAATGCTTTTTTGGTTTTGTATCTATAATCAATTTGACGTTTCGCCTTTTTATATTCTTTATAAAATAGTTGGCATCTTGGAGTTAGTGAGTTGAAATTTCTTAATAATGTCCGTTTCAACAACTTTCTTGGTGTTTTACATGATGAATCTGGAATATATTATATAGATTTGTAAATTTTGTATGGTGTGCAATAAAAAAATTAAATAAAAAAAATAGATTGTATTGGTAACAATCTTACATATTAAACGAAATAATCTCAGGTACTTTAAATTTTATGAGTACAGTTTTGATTTATAATACCGGGTGCTTCAAAAAAATGTATACACACTTTGAACTTCCATAGAAAATTTATTTACCGTTCTACAAAGTTAAATTTCAGGAAAATAGAAAGCTGAAAGTCCAATGTAAATGAAACATAAATAACAAATGTTAATACTGTTCAAATTGGTGACCTGCAGCATCAATACAATTCTGAGTACGAGTCACCACAGATTTTGTACATCGTATCAAAACGTCCAATGAGATTTCTCTACACACTGCTTGAATCTCATTCCAAAGAATGTCTAGGTTACGTGGTTTACGTTTGTACACCTCATCTTTTACTGTGCCCCACAAGAAGAAATCCAGTGGTGTAAGGTCTGGAGAGCGTGCTGGAAACTCGATTGGCCCCCTGCGTCCTATCCACTGGCCCGACAAATTTTGATCCAGGTAAGCTCGTACGTCCCTGTGATAATGCGGCGGAGCACCATCTTGTTGAAAATAAAAATCATCATTACCGTATAATGCACGAATGGCAGGAAATATGGAATCAGCAAGCATTGTTAGGTAATTAATACCAGTTACAGTGCCTTCAAATCGAATAGGTCCAATGAGTCCCCTTGAAGACAAACCGCACCACACATTTATACCAGGCAAATTTACAGCATTTTCAATTGTAATGTGAGGATTTTCTTCACCCCAGTAAACACAATTGTGCCTATTGACAGTTCCATTAAGTTTGAATTGGGCTTCATCCGACCAAATGATGCTACCCATAAATCCCGGTTCACGTATCACCATCTCCTGAATCCATTCACAAAATTGCAACCTTCGATCTGGATCGTCGTCATTTAGCTGTTGCACCAGCCTTGGAATGTAAACACGATACTTGCCTCTCTTCAGAATGCGTAGCACGCTGCTAGCACTTACATCACTTTCACGTGCCCCTTGCCTTGAAGATTTGTCAGGAGAGCGTTGAAACAGTTCCAAGACTGCCGTTGATGACTCATCACTTGTAGCTGTTCGAGGCCGACCTGAATGACCTTTATGCACATCACACACTGTTCCATGAACTTCGAATTTGTCTCGTATGCGTGTAATTGTTAATCTTGAAGGTGGTTCTGTATCATACTCCCTTCTCCACTGTCTTTGAACTTCATTTACATTCTCAAACTTCCAGTACCACTTAATAACCTGCTAACGTTCTTCAAAACTCAAACGTACGTCCCCCATGTTGATATTACAAATTCCAACTGATAATATAACATAGAGGGACGATTATGCTGGCACCTGGCGAAGAAATATAACATTAGCCTTGTAGAGCGGAAAAACTACAATAGTTTAAAGTGTGTATACATTTTTTTGAAGCACTCGGTATTACCTTGTGGTGAATCTTGGCTTGCAGTGCTCGAAAATGCAACCGCATGAGTGCTAAAAGATGCAATGGCGTGTTTCATAGTGGTCGAAGTAACTGAGAAATAATGGGGAATTATTAATGGTGCATATAAATAATTAATGGATGACTGTTAATGAGACTTTACTGCCCATTTATTTGTTCTTGTTGTGTACAAAAGAATAGTTGCTTTAAAACAACATAACAAAATAAAAAGTAAAAAACAACAGCATATTATGTAAGCTGCAAAATTGGTACTCAAATATAAATTTGTACTCATATCTCAAATATGTAATTTTAATTGCCATTTTCAATATTTATGTTCGCCCTCAGTCTTTCGCCCATTTAGTATTTCCGTACGACAATACATAATCATAATGAGTATTTATTACACCATCATACCCTGAATATGAATTTATATTCAATCATTTTAATACTACCTTGCTATATCCAGTATCTTTTCTTGTTTTGAAATTAATGTATTTTTTCACTTTTTTGATTTTGTTCCGGATATATTTGGACTTTCATTTTCTTCGCCTGGTGACAATGGTGATTCCTGAAAGATGATAAACAGTGATTATTTTTGTTGCAGGTACCTCAATCAGAAGAAGAGGGGAAAGCTATAGTAGCTCAATTTGAATCTAAGTGGAATTTCAACAATTGTGATGGTACATGTGATGGAAAACACATTATCATTCAAAAACCACCTGGAAGTGGTTCATTATACTATAATTATAAAGGATTTTTCATTGTAGTATTATTTGCTATCGTTAATGCCAACTACGAATTTATTTACCTACACACTGCAACTTATGGATCTGGAAATAAACAGGTTTTTACAAAAATCTTGAAAATAATGAGTTGAATTTACCACATTCTTCTATACTACCAAGCACAGATATTGCAGTGCCGTATGTCTTTTTAGGTGACAGTGATTTTGCTTTAAAAAATAATTTCATGAAACCATTTTCATTTAAAAATATTATCCACGACCAACGGATATTTAATTATCGCCTCTCTCGAGCCCGCAGGGTGGTTGCAAATGGTTTTGGGATCTTGTCCTCAAGGTTTAGAGTATTTCGTGTAATAATGTGGATCCTATTGTCTTAGCTTGCTGCGCGTTGCATGATTTTTTAAGAAAACAGACAATATCATATATAGCACCACGAGACATTGATAGGGTAAATACTAAAAATTTCACGTTTCATAAAGGGGATTGGCGAAATAATACCGACGGGCTGTCTTCATTGCAATGAACTAGTGAAAATCAACGAAACAGTGAAGGGAATGAAAAAATCATTAAGATTGTACGTATGTAACAAATTGTCATGTTTAAAAGTTATTTAATAATATAGCATATTATTTAATAACATAAAATATGTATACTTTAATAAAATAAATTTAATTAACCTGCTATACCTACTTGTTTTATTTCTTAATTTTATAGTGTACTTATGAATGAATGAATGAATATACTTTTATTGTACACCACGAACAAATATACAAATGTCATAACAAAAATCAGATTATAATATGTACAATTTGGCGGCCTTATCGCTACATAGCGATCTTTTCCAGGCAACCAAAGGTGTAAAGTAATACAAACAATGAATAGGTAGGTGGTAGGTGGTGCAATATAAATATACAAATAATAAATGCAAAAAAAAGATATAAATAACTAAGTAATACATGAAATAATATAAATTACTAACACATAATAAAAGATTAAGGAAAACATATAATATATACATATATATATATATATATATATATATACATATACATACACATATATATATAAACATATATACATAAATATACACACAACACATATATATCAATATACATATATATACAAAATTCCTACACAATCTATCCTAACGGTGTCCGAACGATTGAGACAAGTAATGCTCTTTAAGTAATCGCTTAAAGATAACAATAGTTTGTGCCTCACGTATATGCAAAGGTAGGGCATTCCAGAGCCTAATAGACTAGACAGTAAAAGATTTAATGAAAAATGATGTATTGTGAGTTGGCACACTTAAAATGAATTTTCTAGAAGAGCGTAAAGGTTTCCCCCGGAAGCCCCACAAAATTAAACTTCTCCTTTAGATAGGGAGGAGTAGAAGGGTGAAATAATACACAGTACAGAATAGAAATTGTATGCATGTTCCGGCGAAGTCGGATAGGTAACCACTTGAGACGTGAGCGAAATTGGGAAATATGGTCAAATTTGCGCAATCCAAATATGAACCGAATACTAGTATTTTGAAGTCTCTCAAGCTTATTTAGCTGGTCCTCAGTTATGTCTACATAGATTGCGTCAGCATAGTCGAGAATCGGAAGGAGAAGAGACTGTGCGAGAATAATTTTTGTAGGAATGGGAAGAAATGATCGAAGGCGATGCAGTGAACAAAGAGCGACAAAAGTTTTCTTACTTACCTCATTCAGTTGGCGTATCCAATTTAAGGAATTATCAATATAAATACCAAGATTTTTGACATTGTCAAAGTAAGGGATAACAACTCCATCGAATACGATAGGTGGTACAGAGAAATTCTTGAGATAAAGCTCTGGCTACCAATAATGATAGCCTGAGACTTTTTAGGATTGACATTTAGGCCATATGATTTTCTCCACTCGTGTATAAAATTTAGATCCTTATTTAATTTAGCGATTGCATTCGGCAAATTCTCAAGAGTTGACTGGGTGTAAATCTGGACATCATCCGCATACATGTGGTAGAGAGAAGATATTTTATGAGTGATTGAATTAATGAAAATGGAAAAGAGTAAAGGTGACAAAACGCCGCCCTGCGGCACGCCTGCAGTGATATCACACCAAGATGAGTGAGTTTCATCGACACGAATACACTGCCGACGGCCACAGAGATAACTTTGAAACCAGTCAATTACTGATGGAGATATGTTAAGGGAACACAACAGACTCAACAGTATATCGAAGTCACTACGCATTACTGAAATCCAGCAAGGTCATGACTGTGAGTTGTTTATTATCCATACCCCACCGTATGTCATCAGTAACTTTGATTAAGGCAGTAGCCGTACTATGACCAGGACGGAAACTGGATTGTAAGGAATTCAATAAATTATGCTTATTAAGGAAAAGGGTCAGCTGTTGGCAAATAAGTTTTTCAAGGACTTTAGAAAGGAAAGGTAAGATGGAGATGGGACGGAAATCAGAGAGGTTGACGGGATTAGATTTCTTTGGAAGGGGTATAATATGAGCACTCTTCCAGGCTTGAGGGAATTTAGAGGAAGAGACACAAGCATTGAGTAAATAAGTGATAATGGGAGTAATAACATCAAGGAGAGGAACAATCATATTACGGCTAATGTTGTCGCTACCGGCAGCATTTGAGGAGATGGATAATATGGTCTTCTTAACATCACATTCAGTAAACTGACTAAAAACGAACGGAGGATAATTAGGAGTCGGAGTTACAGAAAGCGAACGAAGAGTTTGCAGTTTATGTTCGCTATCAAAAGAGTTAGAAGGATTAGAAAAATGTTGATTTAATAGTTCAAAATCAACACTAGGAGGTGAAGCATTTAGGGATGTTCTACCAACTCCAACTGTTTTGAGAAACTTCCGCACCATAGATGAGTCGCCGTTCTCGACTGATGTATGAATATGGCGTCGTTGCGCATCTCTACATAATGTGTTGCATCGATTCCTGATTTTGGCGTATTTCCTTACGTTTTCCTCTGTTTTATTCCTCTTAAGCTTTGACAATGCCGCATTCTTCTGCAAAATAAGCTTCTTCAGATCATCAGAGAGCCATGGAGCAGGTAGGTGTTTAAGTCTCACATAATGCATTGGCGCGTGAAGGTCATAAAGCTGAGTGAGAACAGAACAGAACAGTTCCACTTTATCGTCAATGCATGGAGCTCTCTCGATCACTGACCAGTCAATATTATAACCATCTTCACAAAGTTGTTCAATATCCATTCCTCCAAAATTACGTCGCAGAACTAATTTAGGTTTGATTTTAGGAGGGCGTAGTTTATACGAAAGAAAAATTAAATCGTGATAAGAGAATGCATCAGCAGGACACTGTCCGTGCTTGAAAACTAAATTGGAAGATGACACCATTATTAAGTCAAGAAGGGAAGGAGTACTGTTAGGAAAATTATGAGTAGCAGAAAGGGGTAGGATTTGCATATTACACGCTTCAATTATAGCTTCAAGTTTTATAGATCGATTGTCGTCTTTAAGCAAACAGGAGTTAGGGTCCGTTCACACAGACCGGCTCGGAGAGCATCGGCCTGCTTTTTTCTTTTCACACAGACCGGGTCGTATACGCTTGGAATTGGCCGGAGCGGAGCCGCCAACTATTTCACATCGACCGGCTGGAAGAGATCTGAAAGCGGGTGCGGTTGGATGTGCTCGGAGCCGGTCGGATGCGCTCGGAGTCGGGTGGATACACTACAAAGGCAGTGCCAGTATTCCGCGCAGTCTAAGTTTTGTTTTCGGTGTGTTAACGTGTGCTTTTCGAAACATGGATTTAGATAGCTCCGACGAAGAAATATATTTGTTAGCAAGATTACTTGAAATAGAACATAGGAAACGTAAGCGCAAGCGGAAACAAATATGGGTAAAACATATTTGGAAAAACAGACTAATCCATGGGGAGTTTCACACCATTTTCGAGGAATTGAAGAGAGATAGCCTAAAATTTTATGAGTATTATCGTATGGAATATTGGCAATTTTTGAAATTGACAGATTTGTTAAGAGTACATATAACAAAAAAGACTACAAATTATCGTTGCACCATTACAGCCGAAGAAAGGTTAACGGTAACTTTAAGGTAAATAAAAAACAATTATTTATACTAATCATGTTATTTAGATCACAAAATCACAGCCCTCCATTTATTAAGCATTGTTTACGTTAATGAAATGTAAATTACTTATACTAATCATGTTAAATAACACAAACATCTAAATAGATCACAAAATCACAGCCCTCCATTTATTAAGCATTATTTACGTTAATGAAATGTAATTAAATAGTACAGATTTGTGTGTGTTTAATTATTATTATTATAATTATTATTGTTTTTGATTGTTTATTATTTTGTATTTTGTGTGCTGGTATTGTACCCGTAAGTAGTCTGATCTGGATAGTTTTGAGGAATATAGGTTTCGTTTGACACTAGGTAAGTAGATTGATTAGTCGATGGCGGTGAATTTATAGACAAAGAATAATTCAAATCTGTACTATTTTCATACAGACTTAATTCAGCTTCATTAACAATGTTAAACACGCGCCTTTTAATTCGTGCTTGGACTTCTTTTGGGAATGTTTCCACTGTATCTGACATAGACAAAAAAAAATTACGTAATGCCTTGTCACGGGGTGTAGTATTTCTTTTTTCTTCAAGATACTCTTCGAAAACCGTAGCAACATCTTTGCTTAAGCGTGGTCTCTTTTTCGAGCCAGAAGTACTTGCAAGCGATTCAACTTCAGAATGGTCAGAACGTTTAGATGATGTCGATGGTGGTGGTATTGGTGTGCCAGGCTCTGAATCATCCGATGATAATGTTACATTAGATATTTGGTTTCGATTGCGAAAAAATGGTATTATAAAAGAAAGTTCTTTTTCAAATTTTATCAATTTGGACGTAGTTGCACCATCGCCACTCTTGCCTTTTCGGTTATAATAGGCTTTTCTGAAGTTATCTCGCAGTTTCTTCCAACGATCCTGGCACTGCGTCACTGGAAAGAACAGAAATGAAAAATTAATAACATAACTCTTTTTTATTTTATAGTTCGTTTTGGTACGGCAGTCTTATATTTCTATTTTGTGTGTTTGTTTTATTTTTACAGATTCCTCATCACTGGTTGCAGTTTCAAAAACTTGTCATTTAATTTTCGAATGGGAATTTCTACAGTTCATTCAATTATTCATGAGACAATCAGAGTAATTTGTGATGTTTTGATGCCCATAGTTATGCAGATGCCAGATGAAGAAATGTGGGAAAAGGTTTCACGTGATTTCTTTAATATTTGGAATTTTCCTAACTGTTTGGGCGCTATAGACGGAAAGCATGTCAATATACAGGCACCAGATAATAGTGGAAGCTTATACAATAATTATAAAAACTTTTTCAGTACAGTGTTACTAGCTGTGGTCGACGCGAAATACAGTTTTTTAATTGTTGATGTCGGATCATATGGTAAAAATAGCGACGGCGGAATTTT